AAACGTATCTTATTGAGTATAGTGGATAAAGATAAAGAGAGATCCGAGAAGGCGCCTGAAGTGTTATACCCCGGCGCCTGCGTCGTTTACTTGGGCCTCGGGGCGATGTCACATTTAATTCCAACTGTGAGACTCTTCAGGGACTCCGGGTTGTTGAGTCCTCTACTTATCTAAGTGGGTCCCCAACTAAAGACAGATTTTTTTTATATTTAACTTTTATTTCTGAAAAATATTTTATTTCAAAGATTGATTCTCTCCCAATTCCATGCGCTTGTCCGTCTTGACGAAATTCCCAAGTCTCGCACGCATTTTTCTTGCCATGTGCAGCGACTAGCCCCCCCCTCGCACGTTTTTTCTGGTGTGTGGCCGGTCCGTTAAAAATCTCTCTGTGGTCCGGATGTCATCAGAGAGCTCATTCCACCTACATATCGCATGTGCTTTTAGACTTGTTGCCTATCAACCATCTGAGTGCAGTGCAGGATGTTGGTAAAGGAGAGTGTGGGGGTTTAGAAACCCCTGTCTCACACCAAGAGGACTCTGGTAATACTAATGCATTACACAAAAAACAGACTGTTGGTTTCATGCATCGGAGCTCCGTGTCAGTGTGTGCTTGGATTTTGCACGTCTGAAGGCTTCTTCCTCAGGCTTTGTTGTTTTCCCGCTGAGATAAATTAAGCACGACTTCGGTGGGTATCTACCCAGCCTTGAGGAAGACCTCAGCTGTGCATGTCCTCTCTGCACTAAGGATGTGGTGACCGACTCGGGTAACTCCCTCATTACTTCTCCTCATGCTCATGCCCTCGTCTCACCCCCTAAATCTCGCTTGGGTTTCCTGACTAAAAACTGCTTTCCCTCCACGGTATTCAGACAAGTCTGAGGCTTATTAAAACTTTGTTAAGGCAAAAAACGAAAGCGAGCAAAACCAGACAGCTTTTCCACTGTTGAGCCGTACCTTATTTAAACAACAGAGACGATGACTACATGTAATGTGAAAGGTGCCACTAAATATAACGTGAATTATCGTTCAAATGACATGTGAACTTTAAGCAAACTTTTAAGGGGATAAATATTGCAGTAATCTGACAAAAAGTAGAAGAAGTACACATGGCGAACCCGAAATAGCATTTCTTTCAAAGGAGTAAATGTACTGGACCACTCAAAATGCTTTCCCACCACATGATATTGACCCATTAACACACATTTATATGCTAATGGCAGGGGCTAACATGCAAGGTGCCACCTGCCTGTCACGACTCATTAGCCTGTCACAACCACCCTCACACCAAAGCCGCAGCCAGCGGGAGTAATTTGGGGCGGAGGACAGGATTGACACCTGATGGAGGAGCGATGGATTGAGCTGCCGATCCTCCGATTGGAAGAACCGGTTCTACCGCTGAGCCTCAGGATGCCATAGGTTAAATGTTCTTTCATGTCTTTGCCGACATTTCACGCTGTCCAGAGGTAATGAATGAAAAATAAATCAGAATTTACTTTTTCAATTCAACCATTTCTTTCTGTCATCAACCATGGAAGAAATAACCACTGCATCTGCTCTGTATTTGTTGTGCAAGTCCCACATTTGCCGGGAAACTAAATGCCATCTTTTCTAGTGTTATCACATCATCCGGAGGCAATCGGTGAATTTCATGGAGCTTTATTCAGTGTATCTAGCGAGCCGCACATCGGCTGGTTTATTACAGCTGTATGAACCCCAAGATAAACAGATTTTGGTGGGATTTTAATTGCAATAAACGGACAAAAGGGGACGCTGAATTCGTGTTTTGTTCGTTCTGCACCATCGACAATCACTAATAATTACAGGCTAACATTAGCCGTTTTTCCCACTTGATTTGTGAGTGATGACATCTATATCAAATTATTTGCGCATTGCAATAAGCATGTAAAAAAAAAACAGAAACATTTTTTTTTTTTTATAACTGGAAAACCACTAAGGAGCTTTTCTTATCCAAAGCCTGACAGCTGCATTCCACTGATTCCAAACTGTCCCCACTTCATATCCACACATCACAATGTATGGACAGACTGCTGACAAAACCGGCACAGGGGGAGAGTGGATTAAGAGAGCAATCGAAAAAGGGAAGAAAAAACAAGAAAGAAGAGACGACACTGAGAGAATGCGGAGGAAGGATATAGATAATGAGGTGGAAGGGGAAGAATGAGATGTGAAGAATCAGCGCTCTGGGCAGAAAAAAAATGCAGAGGGAGAAAAAGAAGACACAGAGCAATTATAGGACAGAGGCAGAGTAAGAAAGAGTGGGAGGGGGGGTAAGAAAGAAAATTAAATATATATAAAATACCTAGAATCCTCCATTCATTTTCATTTAACTGGACTATTGTGTGTGCACAGGTATCTGTAAAAAGACGTTATAACATTAGAATGAGAGCATTCGGCTAGCCGAACTTTGCGAGTGTGTCGGTCTCTACAGAAGCTTTGCTTGTGCGACTTCACTGACACGCCAGTCTGCTGTGTTTCTGTGAGTACTCGGGTTGATCAGCGTTCAGCTCTATTACCTGTTGTTTCTCTGCCTAAGTTCAAAAAGCCAAACCACGTGTTAGTGTGACATTTATGGATACGCATGTCTATTCCCATATTCTTGTTGAGTTTGGACGTTATAAAAGGTCTCGTTAGATCGAAGAGTTGTACAGGCACCCATAGGCCTATATATATACACAAATATACAATTTCAACGATTGAAGATGCTCTTCCCATCAAGAGAATTATTTTGTAGTTTATTTTGTAGTTTCTGCTTCGTGTCTCCCTGGCTAACTTCACTTCCTGCCTTGTCCCGTCATCCCCTGTGATTGTCTGATTGTTTCCACCTGTGTCCAATCACCTGCACCTCCCTAGTGTATTTAAGACGTGTGTGTCTCTTGTCACTTGTCGCATCACTGTTGAATGTCCTGGATGTCGCTAGTTCCTGCCTGCCTTTTCCCCTGGTACCTGTATGCGTTATTGCCCTTTGGCCATTTTATGTTGGAGTTTATGACTATTAAAGTCTTTTTTGTGTTTTGAAAAATTGAATGGGTATTTAACTAATAATTACACTGGCGAGGCCAATCAACCCTTTTTTCCTGCTCATATGTTGCCCATATTTGCAACAAATTCCCAAACTCCTGAAACTCATCCAGAAGTGACGAGAGCTAACCGAGGAGCCAGATAAGGACGGGCCAATGAACAAAAGCAGGACGGATGATGGATGACAGAAAAAATAATTGCCGGCATCAAAGCCAGGCGGTTTCTGGTACCGATCAAAAGCCCGGCCGGTAGAGGACACGCAGTACGAGACACAGGGGGACAGTGTTGTGCCGCGTCCCACAGCTGATAACCCAGTTGGGCTTTGTGACGTCTTAACGCATCAGACCTATGTTCTTCAATGTTGCCTTAGTAATTAAAAGTTTCGGATAAATTAAAATGTTCACCTGGACGCCACATGAAATGACAGGGGATCGACAGAGTTCCTACAATTCATCCTCAGGGGAACACGAATCTCTGCAGCGAATATCATGTAACCACCATCTAAATCCAGATCTGTGAATTTCTCGCCAACTGACTTTTCTATCTCATAATTATGACTTACAACTTGCAACTCAAACCCTTCATTTTTTTTGTGGTGGAAATGGGCTCCGATACTCCACACAAAAACAAAAACAAAAGTGATTTGCACTGAAAAATGTCATAAACACCAATTACGCTTTATGTTGTAAAAGAGAACGTAAGCTCCTTGCTGAAGTGTCAGCTAAATAAAGAGTAATGTCTGAATGTCTGATTGTACGATGCCTCTTGCATCTCTCAAGGGAAAAACATCAAGCTCGTAGCAACAACACATGGTAATCTTTTTTTCTACTCTTCTACATCTCAAGGACAAACACAAAAATCACAGTTGGTCAAGAGCTAAAAAGCAAATGTGTTATTTTCCCTGCGGACACATTTTTGCCTGTACGCGAGCCAGTAACTGAGCTGCTTAACTTGAGGACAAGAAACTTTTATTTTGGTAATTCCCAAAGCGCCGCGTTGACGCTGGAATTGGAACGCCATCAGTCCCGCTGAGAGAGCCGAGCGGCTTGTGCGAGCAGCGATAGCGGAGGGGAGGCCTTTTTGAAGTGGCTGCTGAACAGAAGCGCACCAATTGATTTGTGTTTTCCTTTCCCTAAAATGAGTCACGCGGAGTTACATCCCACAGGCCACGCCGTCTGAACGTGACGCCACGCTCGCTCAAATCAGCGTTCCCAGCGCAGCTTGAGCCGCGGGAACAATTGTACACGGAACGAGGGAGCAGCAAGAAATTTATCTTTGGTTATTAAACATTAGACCGAAAAAAACAGTTCTACCTGCACAGAGATGAAGTTGATTTTCTTTTGGTGATTTTGGTAACATTTTAGACCACAGAGCGGCACATAAAAGTTAGGTGTTGCGTCTGTGCAACACACTGACGATGTAACTTTAAAAAGATACACATCAGGCAGCACGAGCTCTTGCCAAAAGTGTATCAAGAGACTGAAAAAAAAGAACCGGAAGAATGTTGAATTGCTTTGTTCATCTACCTGAAAATGACGTTACAGCGTTTTAAAAATGTAACAACTGGTTTGTGTACTCTATTAAGGCAATGTGTTCTCTGTAACTTATAACTAATTATGTTCTGGGTTTAACTCATATTTACTATTCACTGTATTAATACAACAATAAAATGGAACTGAATGGACTAGAGGTCATCACAATATGTCTCAACTCATAGTGCCAATCAGTACATGTCAACACAATGACATAAATGCGCAGTCAATCAGAGGTAACTAATGAGTTTGTACTGTTAAAAGTTAGTGAAATCTGAACACAATGAATGGCAACGGGCTTTGCCTTCAACTATTAACACTTTGTTGCACTGTGGGAATAGAAACAGATCAAAGGCGCCTTTGAAAACACGTTTTTCAAGTCCGGCGTTTTGCGCTGGCAGGGATCAAACACGACACGCGCTCGCACTCACCCCCAGCTTGCGGCTGCGCATGCGTACGTAGCCTTGCTTGACGATGTCGTTGAAGTTGGAGGCCATCTTCGGGTGGAGGGTAACCTGCCGGCCGTCGCCGTGGCGACCATCCAGATGCTTCTTTCCTGGCTTTGCCCACCTCGCTGCCGGCCCCTCAGTCCCCTGCTCCGTCCGCTCTCTTCCAATCCCTCAGGGCTTTGCCCGCGTTCCTCCCTCCGGCACTTCCTGTTTCTATCTGTCCTCAACTCTGTCTCTCCTCCTTTCCACGCATGTCTTCACATCTTTCCCACCCTCCTTGTTTCCTTTCCTCCCGTTTGCCCTTCCGTTTCCTTGTTTCTCTCCTTCTTTGCCGCTTGCTCTGCTTGCTTGTCCTTTTTCCCTTTCCTCTATCCTTCGTTCATTCACTCTTCACCAGGTCGGTCCTCCCTCCCATTATTGGGATCTCTAAGAAATGTACAGACAGACAGACAGAGAGAGAGAGAGGCACATATGATTATTTATGTATATATTATTCATTGAAGAGAGAGGAGTACAACATTATGTCCATTATTCATGCGGGTGGCACACACCATTATTGAGGGCACGAGGGCAATGGGCGGCGTTGCCGGTGGCCTTTCTTTGTTTGAGTCTGTCTGAGTAATTGAGCACATGGGTGAGCTTGTGCATGTGTGTGCAATGCTCCACTGAGGAGATCACAGGAGGCAGCATCCATTAGCTGGTCTGCCTAGGAAATACAAATGAATGAGGTTGAAGCTGCTCTCTAATCAGAGCCCGTTTACCCATCATGCTGCGCTGTTTACGCCCTGCTTCTAGCTAAAAAGCGTTTAAACACCCGGATGTCTTCACCCCGCGACGCCGTCCAAGATGCAAGGATCTGTTGCCCTTAGTTGTGGTTATCCATTTATCCGTTTATAAAGCTCTACCCTTTTTTGTGTAAACAAACTAATTGTGTGATGCGACTTCTCAAAAAACCTTTATGCCACCTTATTTTAACTCGGAACTGCTCAGCCTGTTTCAAGCGTGCGTTTTTTCATTCCACACGAAGTAGGAAGAATAGAGCACCACAGACTGCCACCGCTGGGATTTTGGACACGGCGGTCTAAACAAAAAGGAGTTTGCTTCTATCACGGCCTGAGATTCTTTTGGAAGTAAATACACTCCTTCCACATGAGGACGGAGCGCTGTGAGCACGTAGGAGTGAGGAGTCGGCGACGGGCTCGACCCAGAGCCGCAGACACACATCTCCCCTCCGGAGAGCGAGGCCACTCGCAGTCCTCACTGACTCAGTTGCCGTATAATGAAGCTGATATACAAGAGGTGACGTGACATTTACAGCCATCTGTGTGTGCTCGCGTGTGTGTGTGTGTGTGTGTGTGGGGCAGACATTTCCCATAGGGCTCAGTGGTAAATCTCCCTGACGACAGCGGAACAGAGACATTAAACTTTAACAAGAGGATCATTAATACACACACACACACACAGGCGCACGCACGCACAAACACAGACAAACCCGCAGAAGGCTGGCAGAAGACGTGCAGCGGCTTATCCTAATGGAAATGTTGGTTTAGCTAAGTGGCTCAGGCACAGAGACTATTTAACAGACACATGGATCCGGACTAAATGGGAGAGCACACACACTCGTGCAAATACACACACAGATGTCAATGACTAGAACTAACATGTACGTATGAATGTGTAAATACAACTATAGTATGTTTGTCCTAGAGCGGTGCAATTACACCACCGTATATGACATTTCTGCTCGGGACACAGTGTGCTCAAGGTGTCCCACTCATGCAATATTATATGAATAAGTCATTTCCATTTGTGGCCGTTGGTTTATTCAGCATAAGTCCTTGAGCACACTGTGAGAAGAGGCCTCTGCTTAGCCTCACTCTTAATTCTTACCACTGGGTACAAAGGATAGAGGACTTTGTCATAATCTCAAATAGTCATTTTAAAGCTGCTCTTATCTATATTTTCATGTCAATAATGGATCAAGTGGTCGCAGGGAGAATAATCATTAAACTCAGGTCTGCAGGGATTTTCACTCTGTGGCTCCTGTTTCCTCCTTCAGTTATTATCTGAGGACTAATGTGGCCTTCAGGTAATCTTTGTCTTTCCCCTTCTGGGACACTGAGGAAACATGGCTGACTCTGTGAGGAGGACCCGCCTATGCAGATATGCAGAACTCATTCAACAGAAATACCATGATTCTTATTTTGAAAAGATTATCTTCTAATAAAAAAGTAGTTAGGGAGATTTCTGCAATAGATGCCATTAAATCCTACACACTAGCACGTCTCTCAGCTTATTGCTTTGCTTTAACAGCCTGCGACTGTTGTGGCCTGGACACACAAATCAACTTTTTTTTTCCACCAGCAGCATGTAACCAATTTTGTAAAAAGCTCCAATAAACCTATTGTATACCAGCTAAGCGGCAGCCAGCAGATGGATGCAGTTAGTGACTGTCTGGTACACGGCGTGGAACATAAATAGTGGAATGAAGAAGCTAGATGTATTTCTAGGAGTCGGAGACCAATAGCTGTTGGTTAACACATTCGTTAAAGTGAGTCACATGGTGGGTTTCCATACACATTGTTTAATGCACACGCAAATATTTGTTTCCTTCCCCAATAAACCAATATTAACGTTCATGATTGTAGTGTAGACAATTAGACAACAATGACATAAATCCAAACAGGAAGCTGTTTTTTAAAATCCAGATTTAAATGCTTCTACGGTGACACAGAGCAGGACAAACTCCTGCTGTCCTCCTTTAGGGTGGGACATCTTGCATCGCTTTAAATTTAATTTGCTGTTGGTCAAAACACGTGACAGATGCCGCTGCGAGGGAGGACGTCCCAGGGGCGACAGATCGCCGCATGGCAGGGGATGATGTTTATTTAATAGAGGATCTGAGCACATCATGAACCACTGCTGTTCTCTGTCCGAAAAGACCGTGACGCACCAACACTTTAATTAGAGAGAGACACAAACCTGACAGGCCACTCGCCACGTCTCCAAACATCCAATGGCACAGAGTGCTGCCATTTCATCCGAGGTAGAGTGTGCAGAGAGCCTATCAACCAGAAAACAGCGTGGCCTCGCACAGTTAATGTTGCCAGCTACAGTTTTACTATCGTTTCCTACAGGTGGAACTTTGACCTCCAGCAGCTTAATGCCTTAACAATTTTATTCAAACACTGAACGTCCCGAACCACACGGAGCAGCGATGCGGGAGGAAGGGGACGATCCTCACACGAGCTCTTGATTTCCTTTTCCATTTGGATGGCTCGGGGGGGTTATGAGCTCTTGAAACCAGCCGACTGCTTTTCATATTATTAAGTACTCTTATTCCCGCTCGTGCGTCCCATGCGGAACGCAACGATCCACTGACTGTGGTTTCATAAATCAGCTTTGATGATATGCTATTAAGTTCGATGAATTGAAACCAATGAGCTTCATTGTCGGGAGTAAGAGAGTCACGTTGAGGAAGTCAGGATGGACACCGGATGGATTCAGAGCCCTTTGCCCCCAAAGGCCCTTCCTAGGTATCGAGTATATTGACCACATTGAGTCCTAAATATTTTGGAGCTGCCAGTATTGAAAAGAGTTTAAGCACTAACGTGTTATGTTTCCTATTGCACATTTGCACTGTACAAGAGCTTTTTATTTCGTTTGTATTGTAACTGTCACCAGTATACAATATTTCAGACTCAATTTCAGGGGTTTCCATCTCTAAATCAATCCATATTGTGTTGACTTGAATTTTACTTTTCTTTTTCTAAATCAGAATTATTATTCTATATTGCACATCCCCTGCATGTATGCTATTGTGGCAACGTATTCTAATCTTTTATTTGTTTTCATTTCTACATTTTATGTTTTGAAACCTGATGCCAACATCTTGCGCACAGGAATGGAAAATGATATTTCCCTTTGATAAAATTGATATCATCACTGGTGTCTGTGGACTTCCTTACTAAGAACTGCGAGCTCTGGAGCAGAAAGCAAACAGCTGCAGGGTAAGTTAGAGGTTGGCCGTGCGTCATTTGTGCGTGGTGGGCGGTGGGGGCGGGGCCTCGGGCTGCAGCCACAAACAGAAAAACAAGCGAAGGGGACAAATGAGAGACTTACTCTTTATTCACACTCTTAAGTGAGCATTTTGACACACAACTCCTGGCACCATATTCAGTCATAAAGAGGAAGGTCGGGAGGGATTGAATCATAAAACAGCAAAAAGAAAAAAAGAAGAAAAAAAAAACTGCCTTTGCTGTGTCTTTAATTACTTTTAAATGAGCTTCAATCGCATCATCAGATTTAACGGGTTAGTCATTCATCTGGTTGAATAGTGATCAGTTATTGAAAACACACACACACACACACACACACAAAGGCATCTTATCAAAGCAAGATCTGACTCATAACAAGGACACCAAATTGATTGGCTGATGGCCCCCATTGATCCTGCGTCGTCTCTTCCTGTGTGTGTTTACATTTGTGTGTGTGCGATGACCCTGAATCAATGGCGTGTTCACAGTCTACCCCCACCCCCCCCTTCGCATCCCGCACTCTACATCACATCCTCGCCACGGCTCTAACGCCTCTCCTCCACGCCGCCAAGAAGCCTCTCGTATCACATGAACTGTGACGGAGATGTTGTTTCATGAGCATTGAGTACGGCGACGGTACACAGCTGAGCCGCACATCATATCAACACGCAACTACTGTGCCTCCTGCAAATTGCTACAAATAAACATGTCTATGTGCGTGTATGTGTGTTCTTCTGATTGTGTGGGTGGTGTGACCTTTATCCTCACTTCAATATCAGGTTGACACTTTTGAACATCAAAGATCACATCTGGTCAGCATCACATCTGGACACACGCACACAAACACACACCACTAATACGCTTACTGCCAGTTCCACACAGACACACACGGACATCCCAGTGAGCCACAAGGGACACGCACATACAGTCAGACACACAGCCACCTGTCTCTCTCCGGCCTCCCGCCCGCAGAGAAGTGACTCATGAAATCAGTCAGGCAATCAGCCCCTATCCCCCCACGGCTGTCTCTTCTACCATCTCCACTTTTCTCCTCCTTCATTCTTCTAAGAGCCTGTATGACAATGGACGGCACGAAAACCTGTGGCTTCGTTTACTGTTGGTTTACATGTATTACTTAGTTTTAGTGCAATTTACGATCTTAAGGGCATTTTGGTAACACTCCATGTTACACCTGCAGCACTAAAATTGAAAATGACAATCAACAAATTGATGTAGCCAGGTTGTTCTCCGCAGCGGTCATCCTTTCATTCCAACGTACCCAGTCGGACACACACACGCACACACACACACACACACACACACACACACACACCCTTCTAATAATTAAGCTTTCTCAAATATTAGACCTGCAGTTTTATTGATTTGCAT